CAGAAAGACATAGATAGACAGACAGACAGACAGGCAGGCAGAAAGACATAGATAGATAGACAGACAGGCAGAAAGACAGACATAGATAGATAGGCAGGCAGGCAGGTAGATAGGCAGGCAGGCAGAAAGACAGACATAGATAGATAGATAGATAGATACTATTGAGACAATTGTTCTGATATGTTCACGTCCTGATATTTCAGAAGACAGGAGGTTACTCTGGGTCAGATATCAGGTTAGTGTGTAAGGAGGCCGCTATGAGACCTGTGCGAAAAATCTTTGATGCCCTTGAAAATCACATTGAAGGTAAGAAATATGCCACGTCCCGCTCTGAACGACATTAAACTGCTGTTTCATCACGAAATCCTGTTTTGCCCACAATTCACAGTCTCCATTACACCATGCATCTTCACAGGTCAGTCCAACATGCCGGTTATTGAACTAGAAACTGTGACCACAGCAGATTTCCTGGAGGTGATTGCTCACACCAAACCGTCAGCCAGATGTCTGATGGATAGATACTCGGCCTGGGAGAAAGAGTACGAGTCTGTCTGACACATGATCTCAGCATAATACATGGACTGTTATTACAGCAACCAACAAATGTTTTTACTGCACTACTACCTACTCTTTTTATAATGTCATGCTGTGTTTCTCACTAGAAAAAAACATTTTAAAGGAAATATTAAAAATAATTTTAAACTACAGTTTGTTTTCACAGTTCATGTTTTGATTTTGTTTTATTTATTTTAAGTACATCAGAATAAATGCATCGGAAGTGCAGCGACATTATAAGGAACAGTTAAACAATTATCAAACTACACAGTACCAATATTACTTTTTTTCTTTTTTGACAGTTTTCCAGTCATTTAGATCCTAAGAGATTTTCAAGTATATGATTGACAGCCTCTGGAAAGCTGTCACACGTCAGGTGAGGTGGCGGGTTAATTTTACCATCATCACCAGGTCTGTATTTACCTGCAAACAATTTAAAGAAGATTACTATTACGCAGCCAAAAAAAAACTATGACTACTACATTATGAAAACACAATTGCATATTAAGAATGAGGCCTACCAGTTTTCACTAAAATTCCCAGCATTCCTGCATTCTGTGCCCCACCAACATCATCTCTGGCATCCTGTGCAATAACAGTTTGGTTGGTGACAGATTAAATTGTAAGGCAAACTAATTCAGCCATACATTCCATCTTGAATTTCATTAAGGAATGACCTTTTTGTATCCAATATTTCAACAAATATTGATTTTTTTTTATTTTTTAAAGTATAATCTATCTATCTGACAGACTCACCCAAATATTACAGTCCTATGCATATTCATACTCACATCTCCTATCATCACAGCCTCCTCCGGTGAGCAGTTCAGGTCTCGTAAGGCCTCCAGGAAGAAGGCTTTCTCTGGTTTACCCACCACTGTGGCCTGGGTGTCAGTCGCGTACTCAAGACCCGTCACAAACGGACCCGGTCCCAAAGCCAACCCGTCCTTCCTTTTATAGTATCGTGCTTTATGGATGGCAATGAGGGGGGCACCATCTAAAATGAGTCTGATTAAATGAGTCTGATAATATTAGAAGCAATATTTCAACCACTCAGTGGGAGAATTCAGATATTTAGATGATGTTTTGATGGTCTATAAATATCTTCCAATATTGTTTACCGGAAGGCTTTATTGAGTGTCTGGTAGTTGAAGTGCTCAGGTGCTAATCCAATCACAACAGCATTAGGATCTGAAGTTTCCAAACCTGCAGCATAGGAAAGTATAAGATCAACACAAACCTTTATATGACAAACATGGAAAAAAAATCCCAAGTGTTGTTAACTGGCAGTGTTGGGAAGGTTACTTTGGAAATGTAATAGGTTACAGATTACAAGTTACTCTATTTAAAATGTAATAAGTAGTGTAACTTTTCAATTACTTTAATAAAGTAATGTAACTGATTAGTTTTTGATTACTTTTCTTAATTTCTAATGTTTTAAACTGTTAATCAAACATGTAAACCAGGCAGGGTTAACCTTACAGTAGTACTCAACACTGATTACTGTCAGACTTTCAAAATCCTTCATCGCTTGAATTAAGATGATAATATTTTTAATTTTAAAGGGGACGTCGGGTGCAAAATTCACTTTTACATGGTGTTAGCATATGAATGTCTTAGCAGTGTGTGAACATAACCACCCTACAATGATAAAAATCCATTCACTTCTTTTTTTTAAACCCCAAAAACCTAAACCGTCTCAGTTATCAAGCTGTTTTGATTTTCAGAGCAGTATGACGTCATACCGCTCAGGCCCCACCCACGACCACTGACAAACTGTCCCATATTTGCAGCCCTCAGCCAGTTGTACGCTGTCATTTTCTCCGCGCTCGAGCGGCTGTAGCCACAACAATGTCTCGTAAGCAATGCATGTGTTTGCGCCACTGAATACACCTAAATTCATTTGTCTGCGCAAATCATTTTACTCCAGACTGCTTTCTGAACGAGGGACAGGTTTTGCTAAAAAGTTCAAACTCAAGGATGGATCAGTACCCACTGTTTGTGATCCAGCTGCACCTCCAGAAGAATTAAATCTCACACTTTATATCTTTTATGATTACTTGCAAATCGCCTTTGCTCTTCACGGAAGCTAGGGGCTGGGTGAGCAGCAGCTCATTATCATTTAAAGAGACAAGCACCGAAATGGGTCGTTGTATACAGAGCTGTTTTTGACAAGGTAAAAAGGGTGTTGTTTTTACGACCACTGAGGAATTTTAACCAAAGTATGTTACAGACATTTCATGAAGATTCTAAAGAATCAAACCAACTTGTGGAAAATGGGTGTCCAATGTCCCCCACACAGCCGCCACAAAATCCGACTTACTTTGAGATCAGTCTGAGGTTAATTACAGATTTAAAATCATAACAAGAAGTAGTTTAATAGCTATGATGCTGTTTTTGAAATTAAATCTTTGCATAGCTATGACAGGAAACACTGGCATCTAACAATGCTTTGGAAAAGAACAGTTAATCTTTAAAAAGAAAAAGTCTATGCATAAACCCAAATAGGAAATAAAACAGTTATCGAAAAAGCATCTGCCTTATTCTGTGTCCTAAACTCCTGAAACATTTGTCCCTCATATTTTAGAGCAGTCAGTGCATTTTGGGAAAGAAATCAATTAAGTGTGTGTGTGTGAAAAAATTCAGATGTAACCCCTTTGTAATTGTTAACATTTTCATAAGTAACTGTAATTTAATTACACATTTGTTCTCAGAAACTGTAACATTTTGTAATTAAATTACGTAATTCCATTTCATGTAACTAGTTACTCCCCAATGCTGTTAACTGGTTGCTAGGTGTTCTGATCTCACTCAGATAAGCTGTATAACTGAACAAGACGCTGACCTGTGAAGTCCTCTAGAGCACTATCCTCCACCAGCAGTAGGGGGCGCACTGCTTTCTGCTCCAGTAGATTACGGGCCGCAGTGAGTGATGTGAAGATCTCCTGCTCCTGGAGGTCAAAGTTTAACCGACGCAGTCGCTCAAACAGGATCCTCTTACATTCCTTTGTGGTGTTGGTCACAAATTTTACAGTGACTGGAGCCTGTCTTAATCTGGACAAGTACATGTCTAATTAGTTTCTATGCAATACCAAACATGAAATATCTCAACTACATTACAAATGGCACTGAAATTGTTATAAAATAAAATAGTCATTTGCATATTTGGTATGCTGATTTCAGGTTGGCAGACATGTATTTAAGCAGTGTGTTTGAAATAATACCCATTTGTTGATACAGCATACTGTCGGTTACTTGATTTTAATTGATTTATTTGTTTTTAATTCGTTTTCATGTTGATGAACTGATAGTGATTTATATAGGCCTATAACTTAAATTCAAAGATCAATCTTTTAGTCTATGCTGTTTATTAGTTGATACATGAGCAAAACTTCAAGAAACATTTGAAGTTGGCTTCCCATCCGTTAATCGCAATAAACTTTGTGCTCTGTTTATTTTGATATGAATCTATCAATTTGAAATGAAAAATATAAATTTTATAAAGAAATTCAAACAATACAGATCGCTGTAAAGGTGCCAGTCTAAATGGCAGCGCGGATCATCTCTCCCTCTTTACTACTAGTTACAGCACGAAATAAACATGAATGAACATCAGAAGGTGTTAAAGGGGTCATATGATGCGATTTAAAGTTTTCCTTTCTCTTTGGAGTGTTACAAGCTCTTGGTGCATAAAGAAGATCTGTAAAGTTGCAAAGACTAAAGTCTAAAATCCAAAGATACAGTGGGGCAAAAAAGTATTTAGTCAGCCACCAATTGTGCAAGTTCTCCCACTTAAAAAGATGAGAGAGGCCTGTCATTTTCATCATAGGTATACCTCAACTATGAGAGACAAAATGAGAAAAAAAAATCCAGAAAATCACATTGTAGGATTTTTAAAGAATTAATTGGTAAATTCCTCGGTAAAATAAGTATTTGGTCACCTACAAACAAGCAAGAGTTCTGGCTCTCACAGACCTGTAACAATGTCCCCCACACAGCCGCCACAAAATCCGACTTACTTTGAGATCAGTCTGAGGTTAATTACAGATTTAAAATCATAACAAGAAGTAGTTTAATAGCTATGATGCTGTTTTTGAAATTAAATCTTTGCATAGCTATGACAGGAAACACTGGCATCTAACAATGCTTTGGAAAAGAACAGTTAATCTTTAAAAAGAAAAAGTCTATGCATAAACCCAAATAGGAAATAAAACAGTTATCGAAAAAGCATCTGCCTTATTCTGTGTCCTAAACTCCTGAAACATTTGTCCCTCATATTTTAGAGCAGTCAGTGCATTTTGGGAAAGAAATCAATTAAGTGTGTGTGTGTGAAAAAATTCAGATGTAACCCCTTTGTAATTGTTAACATTTTCATAAGTAACTGTAATTTAATTACACATTTGTTCTCAGAAACTGTAACATTTTGTAATTAAATTACGTAATTCCATTTCATGTAACTAGTTACTCCCCAATGCTGTTAACTGGTTGCTAGGTGTTCTGATCTCACTCAGATAAGCTGTATAACTGAACAAGACGCTGACGTTCTCAGAAACTGTAACATTTTGTAATTAAATTACGTAATTCCATTTCAAGTAACCCCAATGCTGTTAACTGGTTGCTAGGTGTTCTGATCTCACTCAGATAAGCTGTATAACTGAACAAGACGCTGACCTGTGAAGTCCTCTAGAGCACTATCCTCCACCAGCAGTAGGGGGCGCACTGCTTTCTGCTCCAGTAGATTACGGGCCGCAGTGAGTGATGTGAAGATCTCCTGCTCCTGGAGGTCAAAGTTTAACCGACGCAGTCGCTCAAACAGGATCCTCTTACATTCCTTTGTGGTGTTGGTCACAAATTTTACAGTGACTGGAGCCTGTCTTAATCTGGACAAGTACATGTCTAATTAGTTTCTATGCAATACCAAACATGAAATATCTCAACTACATTACAAATGGCACTGAAATTGTTATAAAATAAAATAGTCATTTGCATATTTGGTATGCTGATTTCAGGTTGGCAGACATGTATTTAAGCAGTGTGTTTGAAATAATACCCATTTGTTGATACAGCATACTGTCGGTTACTTGATTTTAATTGATTTATTTGTTTTTAATTCGTTTTCATGTTGATGAACTGATAGTGATTTATATAGGCCTATAACTTAAATTCAAAGATCAATCTTTTAGTCTATGCTGTTTATTAGTTGATACATGAGCAAAACTTCAAGAAACATTTGAAGTTGGCTTCCCATCCGTTAATCGCAATAAACTTTGTGCTCTGTTTATTTTGATATGAATCTATCAATTTGAAATGAAAAATATAAATTTTATAAAGAAATTCAAACAATACAGATCGCTGTAAAGGTGCCAGTCTAAATGGCAGCGCGGATCATCTCTCCCTCTTTACTACTAGTTACAGCACGAAATAAACATGAATGAACATCAGAAGGTGTTAAAGGGGTCATATGATGCGATTTAAAGTTTTCCTTTCTCTTTGGAGTGTTACAAGCTCTTGGTGCATAAAGAAGAGAACTTTGCGCTGATCGGCTTTCACCGTGGACGAAGCGGAGTCCAGCCCGAAGTTGTCACATGTCCTTCCGGACGCTCCTTCATCGAAATCGCCGGCCGTGCCGTTCTCAAGCCCGCCGTTCCTCACGCTAGCCCCCGGCTTCTGCTCACTCTAGGCCGCGGTGTGTGACGCTGTGTTTCATTGTGAAAGCGAAACTACTTTGTTTGGCCTTCCAAAAATGGACACGACTAGAAATCAGTGGTTAAGTTGTATTTACAACACTGTTCCAGAACATTTCAACCCAAATATTCAGATGTGTGCAGCGCATTTTATGGAGGACTGTTTCCTGATCCTGGTAGAGTAGACTACAATGCCGGCTGTTCTGACTCAAAGACTGTAAGTACATCTTTTATATTTAAAGCATTTTTATATTTTATATATTTAAAGCGAGTTTTTTGGGCAGTGTAGAGTAGCACTTGTTGGTTGTCATTTCTCTGATCACAAATGCAGACATGGTTTTATGCTTACGCGGCGCGATGCAACGCAACGCGTAAAAACACAGTATAAGTCATTATAATCAGTAATTATATCCCCACTGGATGCAACAAATGCCTCGTTTATAATGGGTTTTAATGTTTTTGTCTCGTCGCTCCGGCCGTCACAGGGCATCACAGTATAGTGAGGGGCGTAACATTTCCGTCACACGCTTGAGGTATTCGGCCAATCACAATGCACTTCGATAGCTGGCCAATCAGAACACACCTCGCTTTTCAGACCGATGAGCTTTGTAAAAATCCGACGTTTTTCAGAAAGGCGGGAAATAGAGGAGAAACAATAATGTACAGTATGTGGAAAATAATGTGTTTTTTTAACCTTAAACTGCATAAACACATTTCATTACACCAAATACACAAAATAATGTTATTTTTAGCAGCATCATATGACCCCTTTAAATGAAACCGTACAACTTGTTGAATTTAATCATGTCCCATGTAATCGCTCAGTCAGTGTTTCAACAATGGAAAACATTAAAAAGCTTGTAAACAATGTTACGTAACGTAACATTTTCTTCAGTAGTTCGTTAGTTGGCTAGAAAATAAGAAATATAGAAAAAAACACTAAATACAGTATGCACTAATTTTAAACTATTACAGCAACTGACTAGAGTTTCATGTACAATTTGCAGCATTGTGACATGAGTTGAGTTTGAATTGAGAATCTGTGAAATCTGTCCTATTTTTACCTCTAAAATATTTCATCAGACAGAATTTCTCAGAAATGTATCTTTGTGAACGCATCTATTAATATATATATATATAT